GTTTATGTTAAAACAAAACAAATAACTCTGATGACCACAGGTATCCGTGAATCCAACCCAAAGTAATCGTTGTTTGACGGCGTCTGCTTTTCCCTTTTCACGGCACATATCCATATTCTCGGACGAACCGAGCACGTGAAAACTGACCTTGAAACCTTTCTCGGCACTTTTGGTACGGCCCACGGTGTAGGAAGGCTCTTTAGGTGTGGAGACTCCGCTCTCCGCCCCGACCAGATAGTGACACCCCGCGCGCTTGGCTTCACGCAGCCCCCCCCCCCCCCCCCCCCCCCCCCCCCCAGAGAGCGCCGTAACTTTCAGGCCATCCGGCAGCGCACCGGGCCGCCTGTGCTAGCTGCCTGCTCAGCGTGCAGCTTGCTTTCCGGTGGCTGCGGTTTCGCGTACGATGTGGTATGTTGGTGGGGCCATTCAACTATCATCTCTCTCAGCACACTGAAGTTTTCATAACCCAAAAAATGGCAGGCGGACAAACGAGAGTAACTCCCTAATACGAGCCGACGCGGCGGTCTACGAGTGAAAAAGAAATATCCCTCTCCTGTAGATAATTTCTAGCTAACATTCCGTCGTTTGTTTCCTCAGTGGCGCAGTAGTAACGTCGGTAAGCCTTTGTAAAATGAATAAACTCTGATTGTAGCGCAGGTAAACGATAACTTGAGTGCGACCGAAAGAAAGCAAAATGCACAAAACTAAAGAATGATTAACACAAACCTTGTTAACGGATAATAAAAAACTGAATAGGTTTATGCGCCGTTCACATGACTTTTCTAATATATATATATCGGCTTCGCAAATTACCGTTGATTCGACTAAACTATTATTTTTTTTTCAACATGTGGGGCAGCTGACGTGATTATTCTTTTACATTTTAAGACAGCCTTTGAGTCCTGCTAAATTGAACTGCTGGCCAAATTGGCACGAAGTTAGACATTTTGCACGCAGAGGTTAATAAAAACAGCAGTCTTTGAAAGGTTCACTTTGTTAGTACACTTACATTTGCATGTAGCCGATTGCAGCAAAGGTTTATAGTAACCACACTCGTCCAGTAAAGCAAACCGGTTTTATTAATGGCACTTCTGATAGAAGTATAATAATAATATCATCACAAACTTCAAGAAAAAAACGTTGTAAAAAAACCGCGGTATAAACATTGTTTAATGTATGCCACACTCTAGAGCTGCTTTTGGAGTTCTTTTCCACATTACGAGTCGCACAGTCGGAACTCTTTCTTCTTGAGACTGCCTCTTTGCATCTCGGTTTTTTCCTTTGCAGTCCCGTCGAATTTTCATGCGATCCGAACCCTTTTGCACGTTCGACCGAAACCGGAGAAGCGTCTGCCTTCCACGGAGGCGTCTGCATTCCACGAGAACGCCAGACAGAATCCGACCCTGAACAGATGGGCAGTCGTTGTGTCTGCGTCTACCGCATGCAAGACAATCCCCTACGAGGCTCCTTCAATTTAGAGAGAACCACGACCGAGCATGTGACTGATCCATTCGGCAGACGTCTTTATCCTGATCGTCTCTTTTACTAATATTTTCATGTCGTTGTTTTCCGTTTTTAAAATGTTTACGTTTCCCCAGGCTGGAGAGCAGTCGGCGCATTCATTCAAATGTTTGGCTTTGGATCTTTGATTTTTACATTTCTTTTATGCTCGGTTCACCATTAAAAAAAAAAAAATTAAAAAAGTTGGAAACAATTAGAGGGGGCGTAAGCAATGGGTGACTTAGCTCACGTTCCGGCGGAGGGCCGGCGACCGGACGGCCTGAGCGTTTTGGCGCCCTCTAGGGGCAGGCGGAGAAAACATAGGTTTGGAGGGGACGTGATGTGTTCGCCGTTCCGACGGGGTCGAGGAGAGCAGTCTTCACACCTAAAGAGCCTTCCTACACCGTGGTACGGCCCCAGTCGCGGCGTTATGACGAGAAGGCAAGTTTTTGTCTGGTTCCTTTCAAAACAACGCAGGAATACACGTCTCCCTTACAAAAATGGCATATCTGAACTGATATTAAAAATAACAAATATGGTTATATAAAATTTGGGCAGATCAGAGGCCAGATTCACGAAGAGCTTCTTAGTTTACGACAACTTAGCTAAGAAGTTCGTAAGTTAAGAACATCGTAAGAAGAAGAGAAATCGGTGTTCACGAACGCGTTCTTAAGTGAGAGGAGGAAAGCGACGTTGTCGTACGGAAAAACTAAAACTTACCGGTGCTGTTGCTATGGCGACGGCGTCTTCGGCAGCACGAGAACCAATCGGAGAGCTCGGCATTTGTTCGGAGCCTTTCGGAGCCGTTCGGAGCACGTGGATTTTTCATAACAAACACAGGCGGCCTTTTTGCCACCGCTGGTCTGGGGTTCGTATCCGTGCAGTGATATGTCGACGCTAACACGATTTAAACTTGCCGGAATGCCGAGGCCGGGATGCGTAACCATCCCCATTGACTGCTACGAACTCGATCGCTACCAAGTCAACACAACTGTCATCGTTGGTAAAAGACGGCCCGCAGCCGTTTGCAGAGCGACGTAGATGGGAACAAATTGCCGCGGCGTTTTTTGCGGCCTCAGAGATGCAGGAGCGAGCCGACGTTAAAAAAGATACGTTTGAACTATGACAGTGTAAGCAAGAGCCACGTAAATGCCTGTTCACACTACGGAACGGACGCGCGCGTTTGATCGAAGTGCTGGATTTGCGCTGTTGGACCGCGAATTGATAAGCGCTTCGGGACCGATCCTTTACAATTGCAACTCGATGCTGATGTGACACCCGGCGAAGAAAGGTTGGACCGGCATTGCAACCCACGAACTGTTACAGCCATCGACTGTGGGGTGCACTTGTGTCAGAATAAAATGGAATACTAATAACAAAGTGTACATACCATGTTGCGAAGGTAATCCATACGGCGTTTATTTGAGCTAGATATCACACAAAACAGAGATACAATCGATGAGAGCCCCTTTTCGACGACAGCGTTCGTCACCGTTGCCTCGGAAAACAAGGAGATGACAAGAGGAAGAGATTGACCTCTTAATCTAGAATCGAGGACAGCGATCAAACTATATACGGGAAGGGTTCACAAGGGTCGCGCGGGCATATTCCATTCAGCACGCCAGCCGGTCGTGGGCAGACGGTCTTCGCCAAGGACCGCCAGATCATCGCTGGCCGAGTCGGAGCGCCTGCTAGGCCTATATCTGCCGATCAGTCGGAGTCCGTAGTCGTGGCCCTTGGAGTTTTTCCCGGGTGTCTGTGGATCCAGCGTTCTTGTTCGTTGGTCGTGGTCTGTTTCAAGTACTTGTTACTTGTTTCTTGCTGCTTGAAGTCGGGACGCGTGAGAAGCGCACGTAGAAAAATAAACATCCGTTGGTTGTCGCGACCAACTGAGCGACGCTGTCGGCCATGCTGATTTGATCGTAAGAAGTGCGTAAGACAGCTTCGGAGCTGTCGTAGGATTTTGTCGTAACCTGCGCAAAACTTACGAACATTTCGTTTTGTGAATAGGGATTTGTTCTTAAGTTTTGTCTTACGCATATTTTTGGCGTAAGATCGTTTCGTGAATCTGAGGCCGGATTTACGAAGAACGTCTTATCTTAAGACAATTTTTCTAAGAAGTTCGTATCCCAAGAAGTTCCTACGACAGGCCGAAATCGGTATTCTCGAAGGGCTACTTACGAACGAAAATCCTACGACAAAAAAAGTGAGGGAAAGAGAGAAACTTCCGGTGTCTCGCGACCAACATGAGCTGCGAGAGGGAAGCGTTGCCATGTCAACCGCAGGGGACGCTTTGTCCGCACACATGCGTTTGTCTGCCACGTGCATTCGTTCTCGCCGGTCGAACCGATAGACACCGGGAAATGTCGACACCGCCCGCCGACAAGAACTTTTCAGAGGTCGAATTATCGACCTTGGTTGATGGGTATGAAGCGCCTAGAATCGCGATCGACGTGAAAGGAGACGGGCCCCATGGATCGGCCGCCAAGCAGCGGGCTTGGCAGAGGATTACGAATGACTTGTTTGCTGTGTATGGGTCGAAAAGAGAGATCGCCGATGTAAAAAAAAACATGGGCTGACTACAAGAGTTCCTAGAAGAAGCGAGGTAAGATAACCCATTTTCACAGTTCGCGAAGTAAGTTGTTGCGATATGCGTCGTAACGCGAAACGTTTGGCGCGAATGGTGAGCCTACGAGCGAGCACATTTTACTCCTTCAAGTTAGTTTTTATTACTTTTGGCGGCAGTCTTGAAGATGTGAAGTTGCCGAAGGGCCACGAGTGCTATGTTCCCGAATGCCGCAGAAGGTTATTGTCTTCTGTCAGCATCATAGGACTTCAGCCCAAGCGTGTAATGAAATGTGCAATCGTTTGAATTTCGCTCATACCAGTGTCGTGCACGAGATAATGCGCAGTTAGATGTCACTGGTTTTAACCAACATTCGAACTCACCAACAGTACAGTGGCAGTCTGTTACGCGAAGAAAATCCAGGAGCAGCTGATCAGTAGCGCGATGTATATCTCGTTTTTCTGACGAGATCCGTGCAATGTTATTTGATACTAACCACAGGTGCAGCCCTCAAGCGCAGTCAGTGTGCGACTGGAGGTGGCGTAGGAGACAAGCCCCTGAACGACATGGAGGAAAGGGTCGTGGGACTTCTGAATGTGGAGGCCATGATTGGCACCCCAGGCGCGTTCGACATTGGTGTTCCTGTAGAGGTACCTAGTGGCGAGCCCTTCAGCCTGCCGCTTTCCGGTAGGTTAACAGGAGGCTCGGCAAGGCACTAGCATTCCTTCAGTAATGGATATCTCAAAATTATTATGCTCTTTCATTATACTAATTCCAATCCTGGACCCTAGCTTAGTCAGAGAGGGTTTTACTTTATCTTTTTTCAATATAAATTATGTCACCTTTCTATTAAAACCCAAATTACCACACTAAAACAACAAACAAAATGCTTCATAAGTAGTATGTTTCCTAATCAAAATTTCAATTTTCCAGGCACTCCCATAACATCGGACGCTGCTAGGCCCAGATCAGTAGACCTAGTTCTTTCATTCGGTGAGTTCATAAGAGATACTGGTCTGGTTCATTTAACTAGTCATGTTGCACCTTGGCATCCTGTAAACAAACCCCCTGGTTTGGGAGCACGGCCTAAAAATTTCAGTCTAGCTTGACAAATCAAATAGCTCTATATCCAAATGGTCTCGACGAGGGACTAAATTATTTGGATAAACAGGGCATAACGGTAATACGAGTTCAGGCACAGGCAAGCTGGTGAACGGTTACACTGAGAAACCTCAATGCAAGTAAATTGAAGAAACAGGACAAGCACAACGATGTACCATCATCTAATGTTGTGTTTGTTCCGTTTTTGTTTCGCTTCCCTTGTCTGAGGGTTTTTCAGTGGACAGAAGTGTACTATATTTTTACTGAAGATTCAGTTTTCTGGGTCAGTACAACATGTTTCTTAATCTGTGTTCAAGATACTACTGCAGAACCAAGCAGGCCTAGTTCAGTGAGGCCACGACATACAAGGTTTGCTGCCTTATCAATCATAACATTGCACATAGTGAATATACTTGCTTCATTACCTAATAAGAACTAAATCTTTTTTGCCTTCCAGCCAGGCTGATAATATTCCGGAACGCCCGCAGGGTGATGCAGGTGCGCGACTTAAGATTTTGTTGAATAATCATGCTTGCTCGACAGCCGACCACATACCCCAACAGCAGATTTTCCTAGTACTCAGCTCTATTGTTATTTCAATTCAGATGTCCACGGTGCAAGCGGAGGTGGGCTCCAGGAGAGCGAGGCCCTGCCGTGCACTTCAGGTAGCCGCAGGTCTAACCACAAACGTGAGTATAGTCCTTCTAGATTTGGATTGCAGCATGCAGCAATACAAATTTAACTCTGAATACAAAAATGATACTAGATTGAATATGCAGCAAAAATACATGTGCGAGAAGAGAGATCCACTGTAAATTCCATGCCAAGGCAATCTGCCATGTAATCTACAGCCTCTGAGCTGTAATGCACTAACACTCGGCCACTGATCCCCCAATTATCTCATTAACTACTTGTTTTGCTCATTCATGCATGCTTCCTACAGCTACACCTGGACATTCATTTTCCATACGAGTATCACAACAGTAGCGTGAAAGTGGTGCAAGGATTTTAGGTTTTCAATCACAAAGAAATTATTTTTCTCTGATGTGCAGGTAGCAGGGACGCCCCTAGCCAGGAGATAATCGAGACCCAGGGAGCTATTGTTGAACGCCTCGACAGGATTGTGGTCCTGCAGGAGCAGATGGTGGCACTGAATGCATACAAGCTGAATGTTCGGCTTGAAAATGGCAAAATTGTCCCCAGGTATGAATAAAACCTCACTTAGGTACAATAAAAATAAACTGTTTCTTTAATGCACTGAAGACTCTCGTTTTTCTGAAGTTTCACTTGAAAACGCTGTTCACAAGCTCCTTCCTGACGGCAGTGCCAGTGGCCGTGTCTCGGGCAGTGGTTGGCCTGTCGTCTTGTTCCTCTTCCTCGTCCTCAGATTCTGGAACTGTTCAGGATGCCACATTTAGCACAACAGAAAATGAACACCTCGAAGGCTTGCAAGCACAATTTAAACTTATAACACTGCAATAGCTGAATTAAGGTACTGGAAGCATTCATTTATAAATTCTGGGTGTCACAAATCCAGATAGAGGCTTATTGAAAAGCTAAAGTGGAGGCTTGGGCGAGTTGGTACATACTTCGGAAATTAAAAACAGCGCGGAAAGACGAGGACCAGACAAAGAAGTGACACGGACGTAGCGCTGACTTACAACTGAGTTTATTGAACGCAAACTCGCAATATTTATTTGCGGTGTCACGAACAAAAGAACATAAAAAATTCAGCCCATGTGATGTATCACCAATAAAAATAAAACAATGATAAAAACATTGAAAAAACATTGAAACAATAATAATGAAATGCGCCATGGCACAGCCGTACAGAGTAAGTGCTAAAAATCGAGCAAGTCACGGAACCAGAAAATTCATCTCTTTGCCTGATAGGGCCACAGAAGGACTGCTTACACATGCTGCACCCAACCTCGCTATCTCAACAGCCTCTAGAATTTCCCGAGTAAGCTGGTCCCTATGACGCTTAACAACCTCACACCGTTGGAAGTCGGGAAGGCAACCACAGTCGCGGCAATGAATGCCCAGGTGACCAGACACGGTTGTGGAGACACTGTATGCGTGCTCTCTCAACCTGTCGTTGAGACAGCGGCCCGTCTGGCCAACGTAGCGCCTGCCACACGTCAGAGGGAGAGAATAAACAACCCCCTCCGAACACGGGACGAAGCGATCTCGATGCCTCGTACTGCAAGCCGTGGCCGCCCTCGAAGAAGGGTTAACAGCTCTGCACAACCTGGACAGCTTGTCCGGGGCAGAGAATAAAACGTCGACGTCACACCTGCCAGCAATGCGTTTTAGGTTGTGGGACAGGCCGTGTACGTAGGGGAATAACCACAAACTTTCTTCTTTCTCTTCCCTTTCTGTTGTTGGCCTCTTCTTCACTTCTCATAGGGCTGCTCTTGATATCTTTCAGCAAAGACTCGGCGACCGTTGTTAACACGTGAGAGGGAAACCCAGCATCTGCGAGGCGTTCAGTTTGCCTGTCAAAGCTATGTTTAATTTTATGATAACAAGACCTACGCAGCGCATGTGTATAGCAAGTCCTTGCAATCGCCCGCTTGACAGTTTTTGAGTGAGCGGACTCGAATGGCAACAATGGCTTTCCAGCACGGGGTTCATAGCTCCAACAAAGATGACCTGGACATATAGTTAAAGTCAAATCCAAAAACCGGATGCATCCTGCCTCAGGCACTTCATGAGTCAGAACAAGTGGCGAAAGGCAATGACTAAAAATGCCTAAAACGTCAGTCATTGACGAAAGAAAGGATACGGCATCGGCATGAAACAAAATCAGAAAATCATCTACATACCGGAAGACCTTTGCAACTTTGGTTCCCCCAAGCCGTTCAAAGATGAGGCGGTCAAGGCTCGCTAACAACAAGTCGCTAAGTACGGGGGCAATGCAAGAACCAATACATACCCCTTGCCGTTGCAAATAGATGTTACCCTCCCAAGTCGCAAAGGTCGACCTCAGATACATATCAAGGAGTTCCATGAAGCCTTCAACTGAAATTCCCGCAGCATTTTGAAAGGCAACTACACCAAACACATCGATGCAGTCACGAATGCAGGTAAGGAGTCCATTATGTGGCAAGGAGTAATACAAATCCTTAATATCGAATGAACAGGCCATAAAGCTAGTGCGCTGGTTGTCTTTAAGAAAAGAAATGACATTATCGAAACTCTTCACGAGAAAAGGATCGTGAATCTCAAACAGCTTCAAACTCTTTTGCAGGAACAAGGCAACCGACTTCTGCCAAGTACCGGCCTCCGAAACAATGACACGCAAAGGGCAATCTACCTTGTGCGTCTTTGCTGCGAAGAAAAGCTCCAAACTAAGCTGTTTCCCAGCGTCGATTTTCTTAACCAGCTGTTCGAGGTTCAGCCTCTTACAAAGTTTTTTCGCCTCAGATTTTTGTTTAGTTATGGAAACGCTGTCCTTAGGCAGGAACACAGGCGAAATAGCCACAAGTGTCTTGGATTTATAAAGGTCAACTGGAAGGACAAGGAACCCCCCTTCTTTATCTGAGGCTAATAAAGACAAAGAGTTATCTTTCAAAGAGGTTGACACCTTCTTAACCGGGATCTTGCTAGCGCCAGGCGTGCGTCTGGTCAACACATCCAGTCCCTCAGAGACGCACCTCTCAGCCTCCGCTTCCGGAACTTTCCTGGCAACATCCCGGACGAGGCTCAGAAGTTCCGCCCGCGATTTCTTCGGCTCCACGGCAAACTTTGTACCCCGGTCCAAAACACGACAGATGCTCTCAGGCAGGGAGACCTGACCCAGCGTGTGTACGGTGGACCTGCTTGGCGCAGCCCTCTTGGGAGCCGAAGCACGTAGCTCCGAAAGCATGCGTCGCCAATGGAACTCAGCAGTAGCATCAGCGAGTTCGCGGTACTCACGCCACCTCCTGCCTCCGTGACCGTTGGAAGTCGTGCCTTGAAGCATGAGAAAAAGGCACTCCTTGTAGAAGCGGGCCTGTCGATGCCATTCCGAACTGAGGACCTTGCACATCCTGACTCCGTGCCCCTGCGAGGGTTTGAAGCCGCCGAAGAGTAGGATGATCTCTGCAGGAAGCTGCCGGTGGCGAACGTGAAATGAGAATCTTCGTGCGTTGCAGACGGCGATGGCGTAAACGGCGACGATGGTTTTTAATTTCCGAAGTATGTACCAACTCGCCCAAGCCTCCACTTTAGCATCATTCATTTCTAGTACAATGGGCCCTTTTAATTGTTTCACTGTTCAGCCTTGTTTCATCGTCGCCGTCTACGCCATCGCCGTCTGCAACGCACGAAGATTCTCATTTCACGTTCGCCACCGGCAGCTTCCTCCAGAGATCATCCTACTCTTCGGCGGCTTCAAACCCTCGCAGGGGCACGGAGTCAGGATGTGCAAGGTCCTCAGTTCGGAATGGCATCGACAGGCCCGCTTCTACAAGGAGTGCCTTTTTCTCATGCTTCAAGGCTCGACTTCCAACGGTCACGGAGGCAGGAGGTGGCGTGAGTACCGCGAACTCGCTGATGCTACTGCTGAGTTCCATTGGCGACGCATGCTTTCGGAGCTACGTGCTTCGGCTCCCAAGAGGGCTGCGCCAAGCAGGTCCACCGTACACACGCTGGGTCAGGTCTCCCTGCCTGAGAGCATCCGTCGTGTTTTGGACCGGGGTACAAAGTTTGCCGTGGAGCCGAAGAAATCGCGGGCGGAACTTCTGAGCCTCGTCCGGGATGTTGCCAGGAAAGTTCCGGAAGCGGAGGCTGAGAGGTGCGTCTCTGAGGGACTGGATGTGTTGACCAGACGCACGCCTGGCGCTAGCAAGATCCCGGTTAAGAAGGTGTCAACCTTTTTGAAAGATAACTCTTTGTCTTTATTAGCCTCAGATAAAGAAGGGGGGTTCCTTGTCCTTCCAGTTGACCTTTATAAATCCAAGGCACTTGTGGCTATTTCGTCTGTGTTCCTGCCTAAGGACAGCGTTTCCCTAACTAAACAAAAATCTGAGGCGAAAAAACTTTGTAAGAGGCTGAACCTCGAACAGCTGGTTAAGAAAATCGACGCTGGGAAACAGCTTAGTTTGGAGCTTTTCTTCGCAGCAAAGACGCACAAGGTAGATTGCCCTTTGCGTGTCATTGTTTCGGAGGCCGGTACTTGGCAGAAGTCGGTTGCGTTGTTCCTGCAAAAGAGTTTGAAGCTGTTTGAGATTCACGATCCTTTTCTCGCGAAGAGTTCCGATAATGTCATTTCTTTTCTTAAAGACAACCAGCGCACTAGCTTTATGGCCTGTTCATTCGATATTAAGGATTTGTATTACTCCTTGCCACATAATGGACTCCTTACCTGCATTCGTGACTGCATCGATGTGTTTGGTGTAGTTGCCTTTCAAAATGCTGCGGGAATTTCAGTTGAAGGCTTCATGGAACTCCTTGATATGTATCTGAGGTCGACCTTTGCGACTTGGGAGGGTAACATCTATTTGCAACGGCAAGGGGTATGTATTGGTTCTTGCATTGCCCCCGTACTTAGCGACTTGTTGTTAGCGAACCTTGACCGCCTCATCTTTGAACGGCTTGGGGGAACCAAAGTTGCAAAGGTCTTCCGGTATGTAGATGATTTTCTGATTTTGTTTCATGCCGATGCCGTATCCTTTCTTTCGTCAATGGCTGACGTTTTAGGCATTTTTAGTCATTGCCTTTCGCCACTTGTTCTGACTCATGAAGTGCCTGAGGCAGGATGCATCCGGTTTTTGGATTTGACTTTAACTATATGTCCAGGACATCTTTGTTGGAGCTATGAACCCCGTGCTGGAAAGCCATTGTTGCCATTCGAGTCCGCTCACTCAAAAACTGTCAAGCGGGCGATTGCAAGGACTTGCTATACACATGCGCTGCGTAGGTCTTGTTATCATAAAATTAAACATAGCTTTGACAGGCAAACTGAACGCCTCGCAGATGCTGGGTTTCCCTCTCACGTGTTAACAACGGTCGCCGAGTCTTTGCTGAAAGATATCAAGAGCAGCCCTATGAGAAGTGAAGAAGAGGCCAACAACAGAAAGGTAAGGGAAAGAAGAAAGTTTG